CTAAGAGGGTTATTCACAAAAGAGCTGAAGGATCCAGCTGTAGCTTCGACTGATCCTTCGGCCGGCGTACGTAGCTATTCAGAATAGCCCGTACAGCAGCCGAGCGACTCAGCCGAGCTGAACGCATATGCTTCGGCTCGGCTGAGCCGTAGTGACACCTGAAGCGTGGAGAAAGGTCCGCTGAAGGGCCGACCATTCTCCACGCAAATGACAGCTGGGTGGAGCCCGCTGTGATCTCATGGCTCGCTGCGCCCAGTTGTAATGACAGATCAGCGTCCCCAAATGACCTGGGGGCAGTGATCTGTCATTAAATAACAACTCCGCCCAGATGTTTTACTTTGCTCGGGACCTGCTGGAAGACTCTGGCAGGTGCCGGCCAAAAGTAAACAGTTGTGCGGAGCTAGCAGTGATGTCACCACTAGCTCCGCCCAATTGTTTATATTTTGCCGCCATCTGTCAGATTCTTCATTATGCTGCGGGAGTTCGTCGCATGTGGTCGGGTCGGCGTGCGTTGTTTTTTTATTATTATTTTTTTTCATTTATTATTTTTATTTCGCTGAGTCTTCATTGTCATCGTGGACAACACTGGACGTCGTTATTGACCTTAGGATAACGTCGGTGGATCAATTTTTGGGGTGTTTTTTTTTTAACAATAAAGGACAAAAGTCTTTGTTGTGTTTTGTTTTGTTTTTCAATTAAAGGATTTTTTTAACTAAAAGTCTGGACTTTTTATTTAAATGTATTTTAACCCTTTAGTGAATGGGTAGGGGTACAAGTACCCCTTACTCATTAACAAGGGAGGGGGCTGCATTTGGGTGTCCCTTTGTCAAAGGGGTATCCTGATGCGAATAAGCCCCTGCCCACACCCCCACAACCAACGCCCCAGGGCTTGTGAGGAAGAGGCCCTTGTCCCTATCGACACGGGGAAAAGGTGTTTTTCCAGGGGCGACCCTGGAAAAGCACCCTCCCAGTGCTGAGGGCATGTGGCCTGCTATGGGGGGGGGGCACTCGCTCGCTCGTCCCGCCCCCACTTTCCTGCCCTGCCAGGCCTGTGTTCGGATCAAGGATCTGGTTGGGAATTTTAGGGGGACTCCACTTGTTTTTTTTCCCATGTTTGGGGGTGGGGTTCCTCTTTAAAATTCCTACCAGACCTTAAGGGCTTGGTATGACTTTGGGGGGGAACCCCAAACTTTTTTTTTTTGTTTTGTTTTAACTTGGGGTCCCTTCTAAAATTCCTACCAGACCTAAAGGGTCTGGTATGACTCTTGGGGGAACCCCACGGTTTTTTTTTTTAAATAGGGTCCCTCCTTACTTTCCTACCAGACCTAAAGGGTATGGTTTGGGAGGGGGGGCCCACGCTGTTTTTTTCTTTAAACATTTTTTATTACTTTAACTTTTTACATTTTTCTTTTTTTTAAATGTATTTAAATATTGTTTACATGTTTTCTATTCTGCTCACTACTTTGGAGGTAGCGAGCAGAATAGCTTAGCTGAATGCTGCTCTGCGGCATTCAGCTATTCACTCACTGCCGTTCGGCCCCTATGAGAGTAGATGTTGGATCAGCTGAGTCGAACTCCTTCTGCACTTCGGCTCAGCATGTTCAGCTGACCGAAGGCTTCCGATGTATGGCTGATTTTAGCCGATGTATGGCTAAAATCAGCATTACTGAAGTGAATAGCCGAACGTTGCTCGACTCTGTTCACTTCGGCTGGGTTATTCACTCAGCTGCCTATGGCAGTTTGTGAATAGCCCTCTAAGCTTTCTTCATTCACTCTACTAAAAAGGTAGTTTTGTTTTTGTCTTTGTCGAGTTGGAGGGAGTTCCTGTCACTTACTGCCATGACAGGCAGGTAGGGAAATCTCCATCCCTAGGGACAAGGACAGCAATAAAAATAACCTGACAGAGGCTCTATCTAAAATTAAATAAAAAGTTATAGCTGGAGTTGAGCTTTAATTCTAAAGATACAGTTAGACAGTTCAAAACAAAACTGTTTCCATGATTTATCTGTGTTTATCTAAAAGATTCAGTTGCGCAGGGGAAGTTAAAAAAGATGGGAACTTATTGTGCTTATAACTGGATGTTTGATGCAAGCACAAGTTCACTTAATTTAAAGAAGTATCACCACAACTTTAAAATCAATGTTCTCATCCATGCTGTGATTGCTGAGCTAGCGTTCCCGAACCCTCACCACTATTTGACTACACTGTTCAGCAGGAGACAAATATTTAATGACGTCTGAGCGACATCACTTGTCTCTGGTGTCCGCTGGAGAAGAGCGCTGTCATTCGCCGCAGCAGGGGAGGGGTCAGATCACAATACAAGATAGTACACAGATGAGAGGGGGCAGTGGCTACAGTGCTTTTATTCACTACAAATTAAAATAGCAAGGGCACATAGTCCTCCTTCTTTAAAAGAGGCTTTAAAAGGTAAGTAAAAGTTAAAGTGTATCTCCACTTGTGCAGTCAAATGTGAGAAAACCCCTCTTTATGTTTGTAATTTGTTCCTATTCACACAGCATACAGAAAAATATGATTAAAAAAAGATGTCTTACCTTTTTAGATGTTTTGTTGCAGCGGGGAAGATGACTGATTCCAGTTTTGTTTCTAAGCACCTTCAGAGACATCTGTCCCTATAGAAAGACTTAGGACTGAAATTTTAGGATTGTGCTTCACTTATTAACTTCATTGACATACATGCAAACCCCTCACAACCCCACTTAACATTACAGAGAAGGATACAAGTATACATAGTGTGTGTATATATATACATATGTATA